TATTTAGAGGAAAGCTTTCTAGAGACATGTGAATTAAAACCGTGGGTATGGTGGCGCTTCTTGAATGATATCTTCATGATTTGGCTTCACTCGTGGGAGGAACTTGATAATTTCCTTCTCCGTTTGAATTCTTTTCATGAAGATATTAAGTACACATGGGATATAAGTGATAAGAGAGTTTCCTTCCTTGACGTTATGGTAGAACTACGTAGATAATGGGGTCATTAGTACTGATGTGTATAGTAAACCTACTGATGCACATCAGTATTTAAATTTTAAATCTTGTCATCCCCCGCATGTGAGGAGGGGAATCCCATATGGACAAGCGTTACGATTGAAACGTATTTGTCGTTCAGATGAGTGTTTGGAGAAACGATTGGCGGAATTGAAAGGCTTTTTGGCCAAACGGGGGTATAGTAATGAATTTGTTGAAAGTCAGTTTGAGAGAGTGAGGCTTTTGGATCGTTCAGCATTTTTTAATAAGGAGGTGGAACAACAAAATAGTGAACAAAAAATCAGAAGTATTTTTGTCATAGATTTTCACCCAGCTTTGCGTGAATTGTATGGTATTTTTAGGGAATTGCAAAATATTGTAGGTTTGTCTGGGCAGTTTTTGAGCGTTATGCCTGAACAGCCTATGGTATGTTTTCGAAGATCCAAAAGCCTTAGAGATCATCTGGTTAGGGCTAAATTGCACAAAGTTGAATGTTCAGTTAAGGGGATGGTTAAATGTGGTACTAAAAAGTGTAAAGTTTGTGATTCTATTGTGATAGGCGAAGTATTTTATACAGGGTGTACAGGGTGTATCAAAAAAAACGCAACACTTAATATTCATGAATATCCTCTTTGTTCTACAACACAAAAGACGTTTGGCCCCTGGAATGCGAAAAAAGCTTGTAATCATATTCTAGCGGCACAATCGTCGGTAAACAAAGTCGGGTGCGTAAACCAACGAGCTGAATTGAAAGTATTTAACGAGTAAAATTTTATTTACAATTTATTTTCCAAGGTCGACAGTTAGCATTCAAGTTATCATGCACGACAATAAAAACTCGTTCGGTTGTTAGCTGCACCATTATTAGTTCAGCTGATTTGACTATTAGCAGTTGAACTGTACGATTAGAAGCCATCTTAAAATCCCAGGGGCATAAAATCTATTGAGCTTATGAACAATATGAATTTTAGAATATTAAGTGGTTGCGTTTTTTTTGAAACACCCTGTATAAAAAAAAACGCAACCACTTAATATTCTAAAATTCATATTGTTCATAAGCTCAATAGATTTTATGCCCCTGGGATTTTAAAATGGCTTCTAATCGTACAGTTCAACTGCTAATAGTCAAATCAGCTAAACTAATAATGGTGCAGCTAACAACCGAACAACGAGTTTTTATTGTCGTGCATGATAACTTGAATGCTAACTGTCGACCTTGTAAAATAAATTGTAAATAAAATTTTACTCGTTAAATACTTTCAATTCAGCTCGTTGGTTTACGCACCCGACTTTGTTTACCGACGATTGTGCCGCTAGAATATGATCAGTACAAGCTTTCTCGCATTCCAGGGGCCAAACGTCTTTTGTGTTGTAGAACAAAGAGGATATTCATGAATATTAAGTGGTTGCGTTTTTTTTGATACACCCTGTAACGGTTCGCGGCGTAAGTTTACAGGGGTTAAAAAAAAAGGAGACCTTTAGAAATCAAGCTATTGAAAATTTGAATGCTTTTTCAATTGCATTTGCACATATGCTAAACCGTAGTGCGTGAAATATTGATGGCATGCATGCATACATTAGAAAAAGGAGACCTTTAGCCATATGAATTGACGTTTGTACACAAGATTGTCTGCCCCTGGGAATTTGAAATAACTTTAATAGCATAAGGAAAAATAACGACCCAAAAATATTCAAATGACCAAGCACAAACGACTAAGCACAAAAGCGATAACAGCATGCGTGGTAAATTGCTTTAGCTGTTCCTTCAAACATGAACAAATCATTTGTTCATTAATTTTTAACACTGCGTGCGAGCATCAGGGCTGTTCACATGAGTTAGAATTGACTTTGAATCCGGAATGGCTCAGCATCCCATTTTACAAACTCTGCCTATTAAAATGTTTACATGAGTTAGGAATGAATTACAACTTGATCTGACACAGATTCACTTGACATTTCGATCCGGATTGAAAATTACTGATAAATTGAACATCAAAAAAACTGAATGTCATGGACCATGACCTCCAACGTGGCCTCCATTTCTCTCAACACAAACTACCGTACGCTTGTGCATATCGCGAACTGCTTTTCTGATGACGGCAGGCTGGGTATAAGTTAAGACTACAAAAACTCTTTGCTCCGAAGTCAGTTGAACCATTTTGGTTCTGGTAGTGTGCTTAGTCATTTGAATATTTTTGGGTCGTTATTTTTCCTTATGCTATTAAAGTTATTTTCAAATTCCCAGGAGCAGACAATCTTGTGTACAAAACGTCAATTCATTTTCTAATGTATTCAGCATTTGTGCAAATGCAATTGAAAAGGCATTCAAATTTTAACAATAGCTTGATTTCTAAAGGTCACCCTGTATATTAACCATCTCTTTGACTGCAATTGAAAGGGAGTGATTTATCTGGTAACTTGCAAAACTTGTAGTAAACAATACGTGGGCAACACAGTGACGTCATTTAGGTTAAGGTTTAATTTAAAAATTAAACGAGACTTACCTAAAGTCGAAGTTTGATTGTAGTTCTATGAGTCATTGTTCAGTATTTAAAGCCAGTGAATGCCCACATCCCCATCGTTATATAGGGAGGGCCTATATATACACTGTATTTGACTTTTTACATTGGCAACATGAACCAGGATAATTGCATGGGTGGGTGTGACTTCCTAGTTCCTGAACAATGACTCATAGAACTACAATCAAACTTCGACTTTAGGTAAGTCTCGTTTAATTTTTAAATTCTATTTCGTCATTGTTCTACGTCACTAGAAAGTCACGTGAGACTTTAAAGCGATGTGGGCATGAACCACAATCATACCAATAACAAATGTGTCATTGAATCATCATAGTATATTTACATGTACAATGATTAAGTCTCACTAAAAGCCCTGACAAGATCTGCTCCAAAGTTGCTTGGCGTGATAGGTTTACAATAAAATTTTTGAAATGTTTGTTCATTTGTCCACGCAGCCGCATTGATGATTGTTTGAATGGGTATGTTCATTGCTTGTGCTGCAGAGGTTGAAGCAGCCCGAGTGCTATGAGCACCATAAATGTCAGTATTGATGCCTGCCTTCTGTATAACGCTCTTTAGCCACCGTGCAATAGTATCACGGGAAACAGGTTGGTGAGGCTTTTGGTAGCTTAACAGAAGTTGTGGTGAATCCCCTCGAATAGGTTCAGTCAACCGCAAGTAGTGGTTTAAGCATTTTACAATGCACAGGTTTGGGTCGCTGGGATAAGCCAGAAACTCCTGGCGTCCCCAGTGTTTGCCAGGTTTAAACAAATCTATATTTGGTGTGGCACCTATTTGGCGAATGGCAGTTGAGTAGATCTCACTGTTTAATTGCCACTCGGTTTCCCTGCGGCTTACGCGAGATTCTCGATCCGCAGTGACATTTTCTATGCCCGGAATATGTGCAGCGGTCAGCCACACTTTCTTGTCGATACACCAATTCCATATGTCGCAAGCAAGTCTATGATGTAGGCGGTAATGACAGGTGCCCATGTGGTTTACGCAAGCGACAGCCGTAGTGTTATCAATAAGCAGTTTGACATGTTTCCCTGAGATTTGTGAGGCGAAGGATTTCAGGGCAAAAAAGACTGCAAGGAGCTCGAAATAATTTATATGATGCGCCGCTTCTGTGGGGGTCCAATTTCCCCCCGCACTCACGTCGTTAAGTGAGCAACCCCATCCAGTGAGGGATGCATCGGTTGTGATACAAACCTGTGGCTCACCGTGACTTATAGGGTTATAGGCGTTTAAAATGGATGTATACCACCAGTTCACATCATGTATTGCTTCTGGTGAAAGCGTTAAGGATTTATCGAAATTTCCCTTGTTTAATTTAAGGGCATCACTTTTGTCCATCTCCAGCCAGCGGTAATGCAACATTCCCGCGTGTCCAAATCAGGCCATCCAAACACGGAAACCATTAAGTAATTGTATAATGTTAGGGCTATGGTATTTAATGACATGGAGAGGATCTTATATAGTTTCTGACGAAGGGGCTGTGCCCCGAAACGTAATATATATATATTTTTTTTTCTTCTCAAATGATGTTTTACTTTTTGATTTAATGATTTGAAGCTTAAAATAAATAATAATATAATAAATAAATAAATATAATAATAATAAAATTATATAATATAATATATATATATATATATATATATATATATATATATATATATATATATATATAGGCGAGGGGACTTTGCATACAATTTATTTCTAGTTTACATGTAAACCTGTAATCTGTGTTGGGGGATTCTGGAAGTTCATGATTTTAAAGTGGAAGCACAAAAGATTAAAGATGGCGGCATGTTTGTATGAGATTTTTACAACGGGTTTGTATCATTTTGCATTACAGTGAAATGAATTTCGCTTTCAAGTCATTGCCTTGATAAATAAATGATTTCAATTTAACATGGCATCTGGAATAGCTTTGCTAACAGAAGACCAACTTCGAACAAAGCTGCGCTCTTTTAATCTTCCCGATGGCCCTATAACGAGAACAACAAGGAAATTATTTGAAACGAAACTTGCTAGAGCCATGGGCCTCTATGACTATACGCAAGTTACCAGACCATCTACTACTTGTAAACCAGATGTAAAAAATCCGTTAAACCAGGAAGTTAGTGAAATAGCTAACACTGTTTTTGATGAGAATAAGCCCCCGCTTTGTATTAATAGTTCTTGCGCGAAAGAAAACGTAGGCGCAACTTGTCAAGAAGTAAGTACATTCTACGGGGTTTGCCTATATGCAGTTGATAAAAAGAGAAAGATGGCGTGGAACCTACTGGTGGTTGTGGTTCAGTATTCACAGACAAGACTGAAGCACTTAATTGTCTTAAATTGAACAGTGGTGCTCGGCTTAAAGCTTTTGATACAAGAGAGGAGGCAGAAGCTTTTGCATCTGGTAAACTAAACGCATCATTTCGGCTCCTCTCTCAGGAATTGTCACCAGGATGGACTGAACCTACTTCTGAGTACAAAGGACCTAAACGGGGAGAAATCACCCGTTTTCGCAAACTTATTGAAAACTGTGATTATGATAACCTTGCGAAAATAATCTATAGCAATCCAAAGTATCTAATTAGCACTGCTGATACCCCTGTCATCATTCAAGAAGGGTGTCATTACAATAGCATGCATGTTGCTGCAAAAACTGGTCAGAAGGATATTTGCGAGTTAATTATTGAAACCCTTAATGATGATGAATTCTGGAAACTAATCTATCCAAACAAAGAAAAAGGAATAGATGGTTGGCAAAAACTAAATAACAGAAGGAAAGCATTTACTTTGGATTTGTATCTAAACACACCAGACAGAGGAGTAAGTAAATTTAACTAATACATAGATTTTTAGGATTTTACATAGACATAGATTTTAAAGATAAATCTGGTACCCAGAGTGTTAATTGCAAAGTGATCTAAAGTATAAATATCATTTGCCAACAAATTGCACCCATCTGTTTATTTTTATGAAGTGTTTTATTTCTTGGCCAGTCAAAACTGATTCAGAGCAATATAAGGGTGTGAGATAAATTACATGGATTGGATTTTCATCCAAGATAGTCAACCATCAAATTCGGTACAAATTAAGTAAATTATTGAGTTATTATAGGAAGGCCAAATAATGCACATATAAAAATATGCTTTTATCTGTTTTAGAAGAAGTTACATTGCATTTGCATGAATTTTAGGTGCATTTTCATTGATTAGTGACCATATAAACATCTTTAATGTCTGTTATGCATACAACTAATTCTGTTTAGTACATTAGTTAATTTATTTTCAAAATTCTAGTAATAACATTTCTGAAGACATTGCTCTCAGTCAGGCATTTGTTGAACAATTATACAGCATTGATGCATGTCTTGTTAAAATCTGCTAAACTTTTTTAAAGAAAGTGGTACAGCTATAGTGCCTTTCCCCTAACCTGTACATAAATAATCATACATGGATATAATATGGAGTTTATTTCCGGTGTTGAAAAAACACTTACACTAGAACAGACTTATTAAAATTAGTTTTTTCCGCCCAGGTAGCGCATACGGCACACCACAAACCAGATAATCCCATGTGTTATCTCCTTTTAAGGGTATTGGCGATAAATTTTTTTATTCTTGCTATCAGTTATATTCGACCTCCTGTATATGAATATGTGATTATTTTTTACCCAAAATGTTTTGTTCTCGAGTCATTTCATGATTAATATTTAATTCGTCCGCCATCTTGGGCCGATTTTCAAAAAAATTATCTTTTGATAATTGGATGATGTCAGACGCAGGGGAGATCAAAACAAGAAATATTTTTTATACCTGCAAATCGCGATGTCATAATTCTTGTGAGGGATTTCGCGCTTTTCAATTACTTAAATGAAAAATAATCACAAAAAACAAGTAGAAGAGGTATTGCCCTATCAATTTGAAACCCAACCAGGTTTGAAGCCTAGCAATAGGAAGGAAGTCGACCATGCATTTTAGGCTTGTATATTATATATATAGGGCTTAGGCTTATATATATATATATAATATATATATATATATATTATATATATTATATATATAAAGTAGAAGTAAAGACAGAAAACTAAGGTTGCATAATTAATGACGCATACAAAATCGTCCGGACAGAGTGCTCAATGCTTGCGCAGAGCGATATAACACAGGATGAGAAACACGAGTTACTTCATCGAATTTTATTTACTACAGAGCTGTTTCGTATGACAAGCGTTAAGCTTGCCACACTATTATTTACCTCCATATTATTTACCTGATGAGTGTGGCAAGCTTAACGCTTGTCATACGAAACAGCTCTGTAGTAAAAAAATTCGATGAAGTAACTCGTGTTTCTCATCCTGTGTTATATATATATATATTTGCATGAGGATGGTGCTCGGGAAAGGGAAGGATTTTAATAGGATATGACACCGAGTAGCAGCCTGCAATGGCAAGCAGAAAATTCTACTTGACCACGGCAAGATTTGAACCCGCGGCCTTCGGTTACTAGTCCGATGCTCTGCCAACTGAGCTACATGGCCAACACGGGTATATATATATATATAATATATTATATAATATATATATATATATATATATAATATATATATATATATAATATATATATATATATATATATATATAATATATATAAAGACAGAAAACTAAGGTTGCATAATTACTGCAGCGCTGTTTCGAAGGAGCATATATGTATATAATACAGCTATAAGGTGCATCGAGCACCCACACCCATATTCCATTTGGTGCACCAAATTTTTTCCCATTCTGTCTAGGATGCCATCGTTGAGCGATGAACTGCAAAAACTACAAAATAGGGCTGCAGGGGTTACAACAATCTCATCTAACTCTGTATTTGCTTATTGTGTAAAAACAGTTGAATCTTTGAAATTATCTTTATTGCTTTCTATTTAGCGTTAGTTTTTGACTCCCACACAGCAACCTGATAGATGCCTCATATGAGTCATGTTCGTTGCATGTTTAAATAGGGCCTAGTATCCAATTGTATAACTTAATTTGTAGCGTAATGACACAGAATACCTAACAGAAGTAGAACTCTATACTATTTTTTCGTAAGTGTGATTCGTCATGATTCGTCACTTAGCAAGTGCATTTTTTTGAGGCAGTCACCCCCCTGCCAATACTAAAAGTGGGCTGATTTTAGACATTGGCAGGGGCGTGACTACCTCAAATCATGACGAATCACACTTACGAAAAAAGTACAGGAGAAACTTAGTAACCGCGCCTTCGCAAAATATGGAAAGAGGCTTATTGTGTAAAAAACCATAGAGAATATAAATAACACTAGAGGAGGCATTGGTATCAGAAACATCAGTCAAAAAAGGGAGCGCGATAATGGGGGGCAAATTCAAGTCCCGGATGCTAAGCCAAGCGCTGATTGGCTAGATCAATGCCTCCTTAGCAACCACGTTAGCAACAATTTTAAAAAAATTATATCATAGGCGGCCCAGAACTGATCTCACTGACCTCGCGCTACGCTCATGTTGTCTGAACAGTCTTATATTATGACAAGGTAGGCAACTCTCAAATAAGCTAAAAACGCACGACGGTTGACTTAAACACCTTCACAAAACCGCAAATATTTCGTAAAAATATGGCGAATAAGAAAAAAAAAGTACAACACATTAAACTTGAATAATTTTACTACATTTATACTATATTTTTAGCATTCAAATGTATTCCTATGCATGTATAAAACGTGAATGTTTTTTGGGTTTCTGTCAAATATATTTCAAAACCTATGCTGGGGACACCTTGCCTATACCTTCGTCATATTTTTAAATTGAGAATAGAAAGCTGATTGGTTGTCGTTTAAAAAGAGCCAATCAGCTTTCTATTCTCAATTTAAAAATATGACGAAGGTATAGGCAAGGTGTCCCCAGCATACGTTTTGAAATATATTTGACAGAAACCCAAAAAACATTCACGTTTTATACATGCATAGGAATACATTTGAATGCTAAAAATATAGTATAAATGTAGTAAAATTATTCAAGTTTAATGTGTTGTACTTTTTTTTTCTTATTCGCCATATTTTAATGAAATATTTGCGGTTTTGTGAAGGTGTTTAAGTCAACCGTCGTGCGTTTTTAGCTTATTTGGCGTGAGAGTTGCCAACCTTGTCATAATATAAGACTGTTCAGACAACATAAGCGTTGCGCGAGGTCAGTGAGATCAGTTCTGGGCCGCCTATGATTATATTCGTTATTTAGGTCGCTTTGCCGGTTTTTTAAAAAAAAACAGTGTTTTTTGAAACTGGTTTTACTAATTTAGACATCCTGAAATTATATTTTAGGCAGAAAACCATTTAGAAACCGAAAAAACTCGTTAAAAACGACTTATTTTGGCTTTGGACATCGTGAATGAGTGAACATCCAGGACTTGAATTTGCCCCGCATTAACGCGCTCCCCAATTTCTCCTCGATGACCCCTCTAGTGTTATTTATAATCTCTATGTAAAAAACAATATTTGTATTTTTGCAGTACAAAGCTCTTCGCCGAGTTATATGCCGTTTTTCGCCTTGGTTTTACATATTTTTCGATACCTTTAAGCTTGGTTTCGTCGTTGTTAACATAGTTTTCAGGTTACGGAGTTTGCCTTTCAATTGAGGCGTACAAGGTTGTAAATAGTCATCGCCTGAGGATCGTACTAAAACTAGTACGTGAAACACAGTGTAGCGATGAAATACAATTTTATGATTATATTTTGTTGATTTGTTTGTGTTTTTGCTCTACTATTTACTTGTATTGAGCTCTCTGGTTTACTACGCACAAATCCAAGATTATATATATATATATATATATGTATATATATATATATATATAATTGCAGTAAAGACAGAAAACTAAGATAGAATCTATAAGTTCTTTAGAAGATATTTGCTAGCGTGACGGCATGTGCTTGTAAGTTCGTTCCTTTTGTTAAGTGAGCATAAGTTTGTTTTGCAAATGATGTAGTGTTTCTCTAAGGGGCTGTTTACATGAGCCCGGTTACCCGAGATTCAACAAAGCGTGAGATGATTTTGAGGTATTGAAATGAGCAGATAACATGATCCTGGCAGTCGTATAATCACCAAAACAATAGCATGTCCTTGTTTGGTGTCATAAAGACTTATTTCAATACCTCAAAGTCCTCTCACGCTTCGTTGAATCTCGGATAACCGGGCTCATGTAAGCAAGCCCTAAGAGGCATACGTTTGCAACGCTTCGTGGCGCTTGAATACGGAGCGGCTCGTGCGATGATCTCCCAGCTTACTTTGAATGGTACTCCGTCATCCTTCAGGGACCAGATAAACTAGCTAAGCTCGGTTGCGTTCTGTTTGTTCTTGTGCCTAAATGACGCTGTATGATTTCTGTATCTGGATTTGAATTCATCACTAGTGAGACCAATTTAGGTTTGTTTCTCATTGTTGCTCTCATTGTCCGTTAGATCTACAGGGTGTCCCAAAAAAAACGAAAACTATTGAAATCACCCATAACAATGCCATTTTTAGAGTTTGAATGCCTAAGCACTCTGTTGGGCCCACAAGTGTATAAATCGGGGTTGCCATGCATAAGCATTTTTATGCATGCATATGATGCAGTCAAATTTGCTTGTTCGCAAAAATGATATTTATTAACAATATTTACAATTTACAAATATATGGATAACAATATTTAAATGTGCATCTCAAAAACCATGACCTTCGACATGTCCCCTTTCTCTAGCAACACAAAGCATTTAGCATTTTATAAGTTGCATTAAATCCCCACGGGCTGGAATTCGTGAACACGGCATTCAAATTTTAACAATGAGTGATTTCAATAGTCTTCGTTTTTTTTGGGACACCCTGTATATGGGTGTGGGTGCTTAATAAAGTTTTGGATTTTGCTGCCACCCACACCAATATAGATCTAATATATCATCATGGAGGCCAAACAATCACTGCTCTTCGAGGACAAGTCTGCATGGGCAAAAAAGCAATCATCAAATCTGTTCGATGTGACCAAGGGCTCCTTCGATGGCGCAGAGATCGACTTGCGAACTTGTTGGGACATACTTGTTATGCCAGCTCCCTGACAAAATCAGACGAAAAATAGGTCTATACAGAAACGATAAGCTGGGTGCATTCTGTGAGACCCCCCGGAAAATAGAAACCATTAAGAAAAAGATCTGTAGTGTTTTCAGCAGCAACAACCTAAAGACAACTATCGAGGCGAATAAGAAAACCGTAACTTTCTTGACGTGACGCTAGATCTGCGCAACCGCTCCTACAGCCCGTACACAAAGCCTAACAACACGCCTCTGTACGTCCACAGCGAGAGTAACCACCCGCCGATAATCATTAAGAACATACCCCTCAGCATTAACAGACGGCTGAACGAAATATCGTCAGACAAAGCGTCGTTCGACCAAGCAGCGCCAACTTATCAAAACGCACTCAATGATAACGGGTACAATTACCAACTACACTTCTACACAGATAAAGAGAGACTAACAAGAAAAAAAGAGAGCGACGCAGAAACGTTACATGGTTCAACCCATCTTACAGCAAGCATGTAGCCACAGATATAGGAAAAAAGTTCCTAAACATCGTGAACTCAGCCTTTGGAGAGAAACATCTCACTAAGAAAAATGTTCAACCGCAACACACTCAAAATCAGTTACTCCTGTATGCCAAGCCTGGAGAAAAAGATCAGCGCCCAGAACAAGTTAGTCATGCGAAAAAACAACTCTACACCAGAAGAGCAAAAAACCTGTAACTGCAGATACAGAGCTAACTGCCCTTTAAACGGGGAAACAAGGAACATAATCTATCAAGCAACCGTTGAGAGCAGTAATGAGAAACAAACCTATATTGGTCTCACTGGTGATGAATTCAAATCCAGATACAGAAATCATACAGCGTCATTTAGGCACAAGAACAAACAGAACGCAACCGAGCTTAGCTAGTTTATCTGGTCCCTGAAGGATGACGGAGTACCATTCAAAGTAATTAATATAGTAAAATTAAAATAATAGTTTTATAGTAATTAATAGTTAAAATTATGTAAATAACAGTAAATCTTATCCTGTAATATATTTAATCTTAGAAAACGCTGTAAACTCAAACGTGTGTTTTGAGTACTATTCTTGTAAGAATAATAAAGAATTCTATCTAAGCTGGAAGATCATCGCACGAGCCGCCCCGTATTCAAGCGCCACGAAGCGTTGCAACGTATGCCTCAGAAATACTACATCATTTGCAAAACAAACTTATACTCACTTAATAAAAGGAACGAACTTACAAGCACATGCCGTCACGCTAGCAAATATCTTCTAAAGAACTTATAGATTCTATCTATCATGTAAATTACAGTCTGATGTATTTAAGACGTGCTTGTTAATAATAAATTCTTATATACACCTGATGAGAGGGACCTTGCTCCTTCGAAACAGCGCTGTAGTAATTATGCAACCTTAGTTTTCTCTCTTTACTGCGATTATAATATAGCTCTACTTTACAGTATTGAGCACTCTTCGATATACGAAAACCATATTATATATATATATATATATAATATATTATATATATATATAATATATATATATATATATATATATATAATTAAAAAAGTATCCAAGAAGAAAGAGTGCTCGATATCAAAATTAAATAGAGCAATAAAATAAAATCAATCAAATATTACAAAATTTGGATATATAGTTTGCAACTATATATATAAGAACTGCATTTGACAATAGCCTTCTGAAGTGCTTACGTCACACAGTTTTCTATCTATACAATTTTGTCCCACTTGTTTCCCAGATTGCATTGCGATTCATTGTTCGAGACCGACATGACGTAAGCACCTCAAAGGTCTATTGTTCGCTTATCTCTTTGTAAGAAACGTCCACAAAACGGCTAGCCGCCATTTTGAAATTTGTTACATCCCTGAAGGTGAATATAACGGTATTATACAAATTTGACCAGAATGTAGGATTTGTTATATTCACTTGTGCAAAAATACCAGCGACGGCCTTGCTTAACTAGTTGTTAGAGTTTAAAGCATTTCAACTTTGTTTATAGAGTTGTGAAACACCGTTGCATTTTGCTTGTAAATTTGGAAAAGCGGATGTCGTTAAATATTTGTTGTCTTGCTCGGGTGTTGAACGATCTGTATTAAACAAAGATAGAAGAACAGCAGAAGAGGTAGTTATATGCACTTTTATCTGTATTATTTATTTACGTTTTTCTCGCGTCCGTTCGTTTCTGTTGTAAAGCCCCCCCCCACACACACTGGATGCGATTCGCCAACGCGACGCAAATTATCAATTTTTTAATACAAGCAAATAAATTCAATTCTGGAAGGGAATTTTGAGAACTACGCATATGACTGGTGAAACTGTGCTATCATTCAGTAATCGTAAGATGAAACACAGTTGATTTTGAAAACTGAAAAATTTGCAACAATCGCGTCGCGTTGCCGGATCGTGTGTGTCGGCGTTAAGGTCCACGCGCAGACAGGATAAAAGTTAGATTACACATCTGTCCGTTAATTTCGCAGTAATTTTACCACAAATGAGCTTCTGCGTCATACTTCGTATTTGTATTCTCTTTCCCTAAATGACTTACGTTTTCACCTGTGATTGTAAGAAGGTCCACGTAATATAGACACGCCATGAAAACAATCTCACTAACAAAATATTACATTGCCAACCTGGTTTCCTTGTCTTGCTATTGTTTTGTGTGCACTCAAGCGAATTCGGGAATTTTCTATTGCAAAGATAGCGTACATAGCTATAAGCTGATCATTACATGGAAATTATGGGTTTTCATCGTGTCGAGATTGCATGCTGCTCTTGCAACAGGTTCTTGCAATATTGTTGCGCACATCAGTGCTAATCACGGTTTTACATCAATACTTTACTTTTATTATAACAACAATACACTAGTGATATACACTGTTTTACATCTGACTTCGACTGTCTATCCTGATTATAAAAATACTTCTATGTTGTTAGGCCTACTTTATAGTTACTCAATGCGGCTTACAGGAGAAACCATCTGTATACTTTGACATACCAGGTTTATTAGGAAACAACTGAATTAAACTACCTTTGGTTCCGTCAAAGCAAACATCAACCTCGTACCGTGTCCCTGGGTTGAACAAACATAGACGAAACAGGTAGAAAATCCTGGCTTGCGAGGTTAGGCCGTAGCTAGAAGCTTAATCCTGGTCCTCGCCATGCAAAAGGTTTTTGGTCCCTATATAGATCTTTTCAGACGATGTCAACTTCCGAAATTTAGGGTGTTTAGTTTAATTTGAGACTCTCGAATCCCTTCGTGACACCTCTGTATGTCCTGTTCATCGTGGGCTGATGAGAATTGACATCTCATCATGAACAATCCGTTGTTCGATCCACTGTTCATCAACTGCACAATACACTGCTTATTTGTTTAATAAAACTTTTAGTATAGACCTATTGTAATGGTAAAGTTGTTGTTTAGGTCATATGTGCCCGAGTGCCGAATTGTGATGAAGACCTACGATCAAGAATTCAAAGCATGTTTGACAAACAAGGTAAGAAAGGCTGTGGGTACCAGATTTTCATTTTTTGGACACATTGTTCACCTGGATTTTTGTAAAAATACATATATAGACTAAATTTTTATTTCGCATAAAGAACGAAATCCAACACTAACAGCGGCTGTTGTAAGGTAGAGGCATTTATAATGTACGAAACTGTAGGTTTTGTTGACGAGATAGTAGTGTGTGGTTTACAAGATAGTTGTTTGTTTGCGAGATAGTAAAATATGGGCCAGAAAATTTAGCACTTTTGTATTAATGTTTTACCACTCAAAAACTGCGCACAAATGCCACACGTAGTACAGTATATATTATTTCGAAAGTATTACTTTTGTAACAGAGCTTTGTAGCTTTACTTTTTTTTAAGGTTCGTTCATCTTTTTAGTGAAAAGATGAACGAGCCTAAAGCTATATTATAATTTGCAGTGTTGTGATGAGTGGCGAAAATTCAAACGAGTCAGTAAGTCATGCAGTCAGTGTGTAAACTTTCCGGGGGTAGGTTGATTTATGCATATAGTAATTTTTTAATAAGGAAAGCTTTCGTAATACACTTTGATACAATTGAAAGCGATAACAAATTTATTTTATTAGAACGACGTTTCGATGTCATCTTTACATCATTTTCAAGTTCAATTAGAGTTCGTTATTACTTAGTGTTCGTAGTACGGTTCATGACGCTAGCATATAATTACGTTAGATCACGTATAAAGTTACGCACGAAAATGTGATGAAAATGAATTTTAAGCATAATATGAAATTACAAATGAATGAATTAACCTTATTAACCTTATTATTTTATGAATTAACCTTATTTAATTGTTGTATATGTATTTACTGTTGTATATTTGTAAAAGTAAAATTTGTAATTTCATATTATGCTTAAAATTCATTTTTATCACATTTTCGTGCGTAACTTTATACGTGATTTTACGTAATTATATGCTGCGTACTTCGCTTTTGGGGGTCAGCGATCGCTATGGTGTAAAGACGCTAAAAATAGTGCTCCGCAATTTTTTTAAAATTTATTTCACTTTTTGTATCAGATTTGGAAACATTATCACATATTATTACAAGTAAGGTTTTCGATAACATTGTGGAAGTTTTTTTTGTTATTTGTATGAGTGTTTTCGTGTAAATAATTGTGACATTCTCGAAGAGTTAGCCGCTAATCATCGACTAAGATCATAGGATCTGTAGCAAGTGGACAGCGATTGGTGAATTACTTTTGAACAATACATCCGTTTGTGATAAATAACTAGACATCCTGTTTATCAATTTGGAATATCTGCTCAATTTATTTTGGTATTTGTTGGGGTTTGGCTGTTACTAGTACATCAGTGCTCGTTTTTCCGTTAACCGCGTGCAACGTGATTCGACTTTCAATTGTTGACTACGAGTCGGCACGCGCTAATTAGAATCTATGTCGCAAGAAAACAAAGACGGTGAACGCGTTTTCCAATGTAATTTGTGCCTGAGACAATTTGATTCGGAACGAGGACGGTCGCTACATTTAAATTCTTGCAGAAAAAAACACGCAACAGTTGGAGAGCGTCAACAAGATGCAGAAACATCAGGTATGCCTAGTTTCAAAATAGCGGATCACCATGTGTTTGCGGCAGCCTCACTAAAGACGATCTGAAGCAAGTTGTTAACGCAGCCTATGAAGAGTTGGTTTTTTGGCGCAAAAATCTGTTTATGTTGCCTAGTAGAGCTGCTGGATAGTTATACGTCAGGGAACTGGAGAGACTGATTATCGCTTGGAACAGTTACTCGGAGATCTTGCATGATATTTCTTACTATGATCATGCCTGCTCTTCTCTTGCAAAAACCGAGTTTCAAATCGAGATCGAAAGACCATGTGACTTGTCTGTCTCGGCGCATGGCTTTGTGGCAACAAGGGAACTTTGATGGGTTACTTCGGGAATGTAGAACCATCCAGTCGACACGACTGGCTACTAGAAAGGTTTCGAATGAACAGCTTTCCAAGACCTTCGCTAGTCTCATGTTTCGTGGCAAAGTGAACGCAGCTCTACGTTTGTTGGATGAACAATCATCTGGTGGAGTTCTTCCTCTTAATAACGCTGTGTACAAGGACCTCTTGCAGAAACATCCACCTGCACAACCTGAGGATCATTCCATCATGATTGATGGTAAAATTCCGTATGTCGATCCATCGTTAATCGCCAACATTGACGAGGCAGCCATAGCAAAAGCAGCATTGATGACTCAAGGTGCTGCTGGTCCTTCAGGTCTTGATGCACTTAGATGGCGGCATATTTTGGTGTCTCGCAACTATGGAGATGCTGGCAAAGGCCTAGGGAGGTCCCAACCCAGGAGGTCGTTATTGGAGCAGATCAGACCACCAGCTTAGAAGCCTTCTTAGCGTGTCGCTTAATACCTCTGGACAAGAACCCTGGCGTCAGACCGATTGGGATTGGAGATGTTCTACGACGGATCTACATCAAGCCACAAATCATGGATAGCGCATGAGACGTACAGCAATGATGTCAGCAATTACCAACCTATTTCCTTGCTGTCCCTATTGTCTAAACTCTTTGAGCAAGTTGTACACATTCACGTGTCTAACTATGTCAAATCGTCGCTGAAAAATTGCAACATGGTTTTCGCAAAGGACGCTCTTGTACCACTCAACTTCTTGGTGTTTTCATGACATCGGTAAAGCCCTAGACTCAGGAAATGAAGCGGACATTGTTTATTTAGACTTCTCGAAAGCCTTTGATTCAGTTTCGCATCAACATCTTCTTTTGAAACTTGAACAGCAGGTGTCTCAGGTACATTGTCAAATTGTCAGTAAAGCCAATGAAATGCTTGGATTTCTAAGAAAGAATTGCTTCCACCTTACTGACATTCATACTCGCCGTCTATTGTACTTGTCACTGGTTCGTTCTCATTTGTCGTTTGGTTGTGAAATCTGGGCACCTCAAGGATCGTGTGCTGATCTGCACAGACTCGAAGGTATCCAACGTAGAGCGTCCAAGTTTATTCTCCAGGACTATGAAATATGAATCCTCCTACGTTGATCGATTGAAAAAGCTTAATCTAATCCCTCTTTCCTATTGGCATGAAATGAAAGATATCGTCTTTTTCTACAAATGCAAATCCGGGTTATTCGAAGTTGATATCAACCAGCTCATTGCACAGCCTCTCCATCATTCCACTCGCTCGAGCTCCGGTAATCTTCTTCGTCCAAATCTGTGTAAAACTTCTCTATTCAGAAACTCGTACTTTAACAGAATTGTATTTTTACTGCGTCGCGCACTGCGCGAACGCAGTCTTAAATTGCCGTCGGTGTTTTGTTTTTTTTTTTTTGTGTTTTTTACGTTTTCGACCCGGTCTACCTGGCCGCGCAGGCCAACTAAAGATAGTCGTATTTTCAACTCGTTTGATTTCGTATCGAAATATTTTTGTGCTAAACACACTTCAAATAGTAATCTAAGCCTAGTAACCCCCACAAAAGAAATATTTTACTGAAACAAAAAATTGAAAAAGTTTGTTGTCGCCGGGATTCGAACTCGGGTCGTGCGAACCAAAAGCAGGAAACTGCATGCACGATACACGTCATATAAAATAACACGTACACGAGTCGCTGTGCATGGCCGATAGCGCAGGAAATCTAGACGTCTGTCGTTCGAGAAAATACATACAGGTAATCATAATGCTGGATTCTCGACTTGTCTTGTTTGATATGCTCACTCTGCATACACTAGCACACACTGATGATGGTAAACCTACACTAAAACGGGTTTACAGACAACGATCACATGAATCATGAAAGCCTTGTATGCCATGAAAGCCTTGTATGCTATGAAAGCCTTGTATGCCATTCTATGCCATTTTTCAATCAAACCGCACTTTCCCCTCAAGGGTGGAAACGGCCAGACCGATCCTATTGAATTTCAGTACAAACTGATTCCCAGAGTACATGATTCCAAACTCAGCCTTATTCACGTATATCGTTAGCTACATATGCCTAGCACCAATAATGCAGTTTTACCCGTATATTCTGTACGAAGTGCTCTATTTACTAGAAAACCTAAGAAAGAAACATTTTTCTAAAGGAATGAATATTGACAGGAAATGGGGCACAGTTGCATGCAACGATTGGCGCGACGCAGTAACCGCCAGAATTGGCGTCTTGTTATGGAATAATTTGCCCTCAGAGATCAAATCATCCTCTACAGTCTCCATATTGAAATCTAAACTATATACATATTATTCGAACAAACTGATCAATACCTTCGATGTAGACCGCGCTAGAACTTGGAAAACACTGTGTAGCAAGTGTCGTTCTTTAGGGTCAAACTGTTGTTCGTAAATGCATTTCCTATATAACTTTGTTTGTATCTTTATATGTATATGTATGTTAATGTCGTAATAACTATAGTAATTATGTAATAATGTCAATGTAATTTTTGGTGGGACTTAAATAGGAACTAACGTTCTGTTGTCCTTACCATCAATCATATGATTGTTAAGTTAATAAAAAAAAAGAAAAAAGAGACTATGTGCAGGACAACAATCTGGCTGCGAGGCTGCTGTTCACGCCATGTCGAAGATTTCTAAAGAAGAAGAAACAGATGCTGTTTACTGGTGGACGCCACCAATGCGTTCAATTCCATCAACTGCAAGATAATGTTACATAACATTCAGTACATTTGTCCCACAATGGCTGTTTATACGTTCAACTGTTATGTAACAGCTTCAAGATTGTTCGTGCAAGGTGGTAAAGAAATTGCATCAGCGGAATGTACCACGCAAGGTGATCCGTTAGTTATGCCGTTGCCATTACTCCACTCCTGCTCATGATTAAATCTGATGAAGCTAGTGATGTAAGGCATGTTGCGTACGCGGATGACCTTAGTGGTCAGATAAGCTAATGCAACTGCGTGACTGGTGGGAGGAGATTGCCGTGCATGGTCGCAGTCTTGGTTACTACCCGCGAGCTGATAAATCCTGGTTGATTGTGAAGCCAC